ATGGATGGTAGGTTAGTGGGGTGTTTAAATGGCTTAGGAAAAAGGATGAAGAATTCCTCAGAATTTGTGTTAGATATGATTCAAGACTGTTGTTCTTTTGACAGGAAAGTAATCAGAATAAGGGATGCAAGCATTGATAAATGCTCACAGTTTTGCTTCACACACACACACAGTGTTTGGTTTTGAATTTTAGTTTAATGATGTGTTGAAGAGAATAAAACAATGACCCTGAAATCTAAACGAGGTGCATGAAATAGTGGAAATAGAAAGAGGTATTGTTGCTAGAGGGCTCGTTCTTCCGATTTCTTCTTTCATGTAAACCTATGGCATTTTTGTAGGACATTTTGAATAGGTTTCTAAGTTTACATGTCTGGTTGTAATCCTGGAAACTTTAAGATTCTTGGTTGTCAAGAAATTGTGTCTAGAACGGAGCAAACAAGGAAACAACTAATCAAACTTTACCCAAATTATCGAGGTCCACTACAAGAACTGTATTTTTTATGTCCAGTGTCTAAATTGGTTTTCTTTCTTTTGGTATCTTTCCTTATCTCTAGTTATCTTGGCACCAACCTTAATGCAAAATGCAGATAAATGAAGTGGACAAGCATATCAGATTTCATTTGCCTTTTATATTTTAGATATCTTTTATTCTTTTTTCAACTCTAAGAAGTGGCTTTTATTTACTTTTCCCAGTGCAATAAAATATTATTTGTTAATCTTAACTTTGCTGCCAATGTTCCAACCTTTTTTCGTTGTATTGTACTGTCGTCCAGAAAGCCAGATCTTGTGCCCACAACTTGAAAAGGTGTCTGCTAATATAATATCTGGCTCTTTTCATGGTGCATATTGTACCCCTAAGATGGCATTTTCACTTTCACAGGCTTAATTGACATGCTTTCCCTTTTTCAGCTGAAGACTGCTAGGGAAGCAGTGAACTTTGGTCTTACAGGAAGTGTTATTGGAGCAGTATCAACTGCTGGCTTTACGTGGAAATATTCAAGGAGTTTGCATGGTAGACCGTTGCCTCTTCTTTTTTAGTGTATTCGCTATTTCATTGATTGAGCTGCCTATCATTTGAATCTCTAATGATTTCACCAATTCTTCAGTTCCTCTTCATATTTTTTTTTTCTTTAAAGTCTAAATTTTTTCTTCAAACAGACCTTTGATGTTTTCTGCTTTGCCTGAATTAACATGACATCACTTGTGTAAAGTTTCTTGAGCGACGGTTCAAATTTGTGGATAAATGAATATGCATATCTAATACTTCACATCTAATTCCTGTACTAAATCCGTTTTTGCTGGCAAAAGATGCTTACTTAAGAAAATGCTAATGCTTATCCAGTTGGCTATGGTAGAATGGACCAACATGGATTTCTATCAGTGGCAAAAAAATATCATGATGTGAAAAAAAAAAAAAGGGTAGTTTCCAGAAGTGTCCCTGTAATTATAGCTGCTTCAAGTTGGTCCCGTATTATATTTCAAAGTTGTCTTCTTCATTCTCTCTTCCTGATATTTCTTCTGTCAACTTGGCCTGAATGTTCTGGAAATATAAATTTTTGAAAAACTTTGCATATGCTTAGTCTAGTTTTTGTTTTTTTTTGTTTTTCAACTGTTCTCCTTTTCCAAAGGCCAGAGTTTATGTAGCCTGAAAAGGTCAAGTGTTTTCCTTAATTGTTGAAAGCAACTTAAAGGTTAGGTGTTCAAGCTTTGGTAGAGATAAAGGAACAGTATGTTATGGTATACTGCTACATGCAACTCTCTCTCTCTCTCTCTCTCATATGGGAGTGATTCAGAAGCGTGCCGGTCTTTATACTGATTTCACAAACCACCCTCTTTTTCTGATCCTGATATTGAAAGTGTGGAAATGACTCAATGAAAAGACATTGCATTTCAATTTACTGCAACTTTGGTTCATGCAAGTACCAAATGAGCATAAGCTCATGTGTACACTATAGATTGTGAATATATTAGTAACATACCAACGTGGCTTGGTAGAAATCAGCTGTATTCTGATTATAGCAGATGACTTGTATAGCTCAGGGATTCACATGCCATCTTTCTGAGCATTTTAACTTACAATTTTTAAATGTTTCAATATTAACATCTGTGAATACATTATATCTTTATGGGCATTTTAACTTGCAATCTTTAAAAGGGTTTTTAGATAGATTATAGAAGGTTATGTTATGGATCGGAGGAATTTCTAGATTCTGAACCCTGTTCTATTTGACAGGTGCTGGACTATCCTTTCTAGCCGGAGGTGTTTTTGGTTGGACATTTGGACACGAAATTGCAAACCACTGGCTGCAACTTTACAGGTTGGACACATTGGCTGCACAAACTAAGTTCCTGGAGTGGTGGGAAGACAAGAATGAGAGACGGTCTTAAACTTGGGTTGCTCTTGGAAGCAATATAATAACCGATGCTGCAGTTCTACAATAAGAATCAAACACAGTTGTGTTGAAAAATGTACTGATAAAAGATTGTACTTTACCTTTATGCAAGATTGTTTTAATTTGGGCTTTAGGAATTATCTGCTACCTTCTCAGAATCAATCTGATGAAATTGCGATGTTGTGATCTTTTTAGAGCTGCTATTTCGTTTAACAGTTTAAACTTTGTGAATTGTGATGAATTTTTATGGGGGCTGAAAATAATGCTGCATTTGGTGATGATTTAGATGTTATGGATGAAGTTATCCTGGAGCCCTATTTTCATTAAATTTTGAATGATTAGGAGTTGGAGATATTAGTCATACCCTTAAAATGTCTATTAGAGAGATGATACCAAAAATGGTTTGTCGAGATCATGCACAAAATGGTCCGTCAAGATGATACAAATGGTGTCACTTTTAGGAAACTAAACTCTATGCCTAATCCCAAAACGAAGTGCTGAAAATGGAATAAAAACACATTAATTAACCGTCATTTATCTAATTCTGATCGAGCATTTGGCGTTGATTCTAGTAGGTTTAACTATGATTTAGGGGGATTAGGGTTTGAAGGGTCTTGGAAAATAAGGATTTAGGGCTTTAGACCTAAATTCTAGACCCAAAGTCTAAACCTCAATATGTAAATTGGAATTCAAGGGTTAATGACCTAAATGGTCCCCCGACTATCCCGTGATTATCATTTTGGTCCACCAACTAAAATTTTCAATTCAAACGTCCTTAAACTTTTTATAATATACCAAAATTGTCTTTCCGTGATAGATTCCGTTACTTTTGATCACGTGATGGCCACGTGACTGAGTTTTGAAGGGTATATGCGACTTTTAGAGAAGCCCTATCACTCAGAACGAACATCCCTCCCAAATATGTCAACTTTTTGAGAAGGCCTCTCATTTCCCATGAAAACCATCGAGTGAAAGGGATTCTAATGCGAGTTGCTGAATTGGTCGATGCTATAGTAGTGTGCGAGTCATTGAATTGGTGAAGTTAGTGTGTAATTTCAGTGTTAGTTTTGGAGTTCGAATTTGGGAGTTTGGGTTAGGGTTTGATTTTGGGGATTTTTGGAGATTTTGGGAAATTCACTGGTTGCTGATAATGGAGTTCGAATTCTGTTCGGGTGGACAGACTCCCAAATACGGTAAGGGCTTCTATAATCATTTTATGTTGTTTTTGTTTGGAAATTGATGAAACAGATGAGTTGTCCTTGTCTGGAATTGTGGTTTCTTTATAAATTTTTTTTTTTTTTTTTTTTTTTTGGTAGTTAGCTTGATAGTTCTTTGCATAAATATTTTATTCTTCTCAATGCCCAATTTTTAAGTTTCAACATTCGGGCTTCTCTTTTTTGGGTGCCTTAACTTTGTGCACACCCCACATGTAGGAAAGTTTTTCCTCTCATGCCATCTTTCTTTATTTTCACTATCTCCTCCTCTAGAACTTTCTCTAGATTTCCTTCCCTTTTTCTAGAATTCGTGAAACTTTGAATTGAGTATTGATAGCACGTACCTTGTTTCCTTAGAATCGGCCCATGCGCCCCAAATTGATTGAACACGGCTCTCGAGTCGGCCCTTACGCCCAAAGTGATCGAACTAGCTCTCGAACCAGCTCTGACACCCAATACGATCGAACTAGCTCTGATACCACTGTTAGAATTGTGGGGAAAACAAAATGATTTTAGGGTTAATGACCTAAATGGTCCCCCGACTATCCCGTGATTATCATTTTGGTCCACCAACTAAAATTTTCAATTCAAACGTCCTTAAACTTTTTATAATATACCAAAATTGTCTTTCCGTGATAGATTCCGTTACTTTTGATCACGTGATGGCCACGTGACTGAGTTTTGAAGGGTATATGCGACTTTTAGAGAAGCCCTATCACTCAGAACGAACATCCCTCCCAAATATGTCAACTTTTTGAGAAGGCCTCTCATTTCCCATGAAAACCATCGAGTGAAAGGGATTCTAATGCGAGTTGCTGAATTGGTCGATGCTATAGTAGTGTGCGAGTCATTGAATTGGTGAAGTTAGTGTGTAATTTCAGTGTTAGTTTTGGAGTTCGAATTTGGGAGTTTGGGTTAGGGTTTGATTTTGGGGATTTTTGGAGATTTTGGGAAATTCACTGGTTGCTGATAATGGAGTTCGAATTCTGTTCGGGTGGACAGACTCCCAAATACGGTAAGGGCTTCTATAATCATTTTATGTTGTTTTTGTTTGGAAATTGATGAAACAGATGAGTTGTCCTTGTCTGGAATTGTGGTTTCTTTATAAAGATTCCTTTTTCTGTGTTTGTGTTCGGCTTTTTGGTTGTTTTATGTTTAAAGTAAGGGTAAAGGAATCGTTTTCTTGTATGTGGATGTGGATTTGGCTTTTGCTACATTGACTGTAGAGTGTAAGCTTTATGTCTATGGTCCCTTGGTTGTGGTTCCAGCATAAATTGGGAGAGGTCTTGGGTATGAGGTTGACATTTCTCAAGTTGAGCAACGTTTGGAAATTAGGTGTAAAAATCCTGAGGGTGGACTAGAGCTTGTTACATCGGATGCTACAGTAGTTGAAATGGTTGGTCACATACCATCCAATAAGGTTATTGTGTTGTACTATAGTGAGATTGAAGACTATGAGTATGATGCAGATGCAGAGAATTGTGATGGGGATTTGACTCAGAATTACCAAGTGAATGGGGTGGATTATATTGAAGTTGAAGCTGAGGAGACTTTTGAGAATGTTGGGACAAAAGTGGCAAATGAAGATGCAGGGGCAGAATTACCAAATGAAGATGTTGTGAAAGAGGTACCAAATGAAGATGCAGGGGCAGAATTACCAAATGAAGATATAGGGGCACATTTCACTATTGATACCGAAGGGGCAGAATTGCCAAATGAAGATATAAGGGCACATGTGACAATTGATAATGAAGGGGCAGAATTGCCAAATGAAGATGAAGATGAAGATGCAGATTCAGAAATTCAAGACAGTGATTATGAGTTCAGTGACAATGAGGCAGAAGATAGGCCAACTGTTAGAGAGAATGTAGCAAATGAAGGGACTAGTCATGGTGCTCAAGGAGAGATGTCATCAGATGGTGCTGACACGTCAGAATTTGACAGTGGAAGTGAGACTGATTCTGAGGGTAATGGTAGAAAAAAGATAAAGCTGCCAAAATTTAAGCAGTATAGAAGATATGTGCATTTGAAAAATCCTGAGTTTAGATTGGGAATGAAGTTTGCAAACAAAAAAATTCTGATAAAGGCTATCAAGGAGCTTGCAATTATAGAGGCTAGGGAAGTGAAATTGAAAAAAAACGACAACAGACGAGTTTAAGTGAGACTGATTCTGAGGGTAATGGTAGAAAAAAGATAAAGCTGCCAAAATTTAAGCAGTATAGAAGATATGTGCATTTGAAAAATCCTGAGTTTAGATTGGGAATGAAGTTTGCAAACAAAAAAATTCTGATAAAGGCTATCAAGGAGCTTGCAATTATAGAGGCTAGGGAAGTGAAATTGAAAAAAAACGACAACAGACGAGTTTAGGCTAAATGTGTGAAAGGGTGTTCTTTCCAGGTATATGGATCAAGGATTAATAGAGAGGAAGGGACATTTGCTATAAAAACTTTGAGCCTAGAACATCAGTGTGGAAGAGTGGACAAGCTTAGGCATACTACATCAAAATGGCTTTGTGACAGATATGCAAACAAGCTGAGCCGCAACTCAGACTTTGATCTGAAATCATTTCAACAAGATGTGTTGGCAGATTACAAAATAAAAGTCACCAAACTTCAAGTTTATAGGGCAAAGAGGCTAGCCAGAGATTTAAATGAAGGTACTTTCAAAGAACAATATGCTAGATTGTGGGATTATGCAAAAGAATTGAAAACTACAAACCAAGGTAGTACAGTGAAGATTAAAACTCAGATTATGAAGTGTGAGACAGTGTTTCAAAGAATATATGTGTGCTTGGCTGCATGTAAGAAGGGATTTTTAGAAGGTTGCAGACCTGTTATTGGTGTTGATGGCTGCCATTTGAAAGGGCCTTATCCTGGACAGATCTTGACGGCTGTTGGGGTGGATTGGAACAATGGTTATTTCCCAGTACCAAGCTATTGACCTTCTTGATGTTCGGGATGATGAGGTGCTTGATCCCGACAAGAACCATTCCCATAGGGACCTTCTCGGCAGATGGGACCCCTTTCGAGGAAGATTTGTTTGTGGCAGAAAAAGGTTTCGGTTTCTTTGTTTATGAAGACGCATCCCTTGATCATGAGGTTGCAGCTTCATCTTTCATGGATCTACTACTAGCCTTCATCTTCTCAGGGAGCTCGATTGAGGACTCCTCCTTCTCAATAGGTAGATCATCCGAGTCTAAGCTATACAGTTTCCATTTTTCAACATCTTCGGCATGGGCAGACCACTAGTTTCCTTCTGATGCTTACTCAGCAACTAGGGCCACTCATGGAATTTGGCAAGGATGTTCAAAGCTTGATGAACCTTTGTCAAGTCCGAGTCGAGATCGAGCTTCTTACGGATGTCATTTTTTGCACATAGAAGGCAAAAGTCAGTTGGGTACAACTTACCATCACAGTAGGTGAGAGGAACGAGCGGACTGTCGCTTACCTCCCCTTCCCATCTACCGCTAACCTCCAGCACGTCAGTTTGCCACACATGATCGCCTTGACTCAAACTGTCAAATAGCTTGGAGTTGTATACGCAAACCTAAGCATACTTCTCTTAGTGTCTCACCTTGAAGAAGTAGAAGAATTCCTGCACTATCAGATCCAACTTGAAAAAACGGCTAAGATTTTCAAAGCAGATGATCGCTCGGTAAACATTCGGAGTACATCAGCTCGAAGCACACTCCATTCCGCAGAACACCTCATTGAAGAACTTCGATAGTGGAAATGTGAAGCCCATCGAGACATAGAAGGGATGAAACATGATAACTCGGGTGCCCGAATTGTTCGGATCCATTCGAGGCACATCGTTGAACATGGTCTTTGCCAACTTGACAAGCACGTCCTTCAGAATGGCAGAGTCGAAAGTGGCACACCGTGTTTTGAACTAGGCCTCAATGGTGACACGGTGTAGATTTGCCACAAATCTCTCCTTGTATACTTTGGAGCCACCCCACAGGTACACGGGCATTTGCGAGTTTAGTGATCGGCTTCTCCCTTTAAAAGTCATGGTCGCTAAACAGCTGCAAAAATAACGAAGAATATATACCACGAACTAGGAATCTTGACTTGTGATTGTCTTCATAATTTTTTGCAGTTGTTCAGCGACCATGTCTTTCAAATGGAGAAGCCGATCACCGAACTCATAAGTCCCTTGTACTTGTGGAGTAGCTCCAAAGTATACAAGGAAATATTTGTGGCAAATATGCACCGTGTCACCACCGAAGCCCAGTTCAAAACATGGTGTGTCACTTTCGACTCTGCCATTCTGAAGGACGTGCATTTCAAGTTGGCAAAGCCCTTGTTCATCGATGTGCCTCGCGTGGATCCGAACAATTCAAGCGCCCTAGTTATCACATTTCGTCCCTTCTACTTCTCGCTGGGCTTCACATTTCCGTTGTCAAAGTTCTTCAATAAGGTGTTCTGCGTCATGGAGTGTGCTCCGAGCCAATGTACTCCGAATGTTTACTGAGCGATCATCTGCTTTGAAAGTCTAAGCCACTTTTTCAAGCTGGAGATGACAGTGCGAGAATTCTTCTACTTCTTCGAGGTGAGACGCTGCGAGAAGGATGCTCAGGTTCGCGTGTTCAATGCCAAGTTGTTCGACAGTTTCAGTCAAGGGGACCATGTGTGGCATACTAATGTGCTGGAGGTTAGCGGCAAATGGAAAGGTGAGGTTGGAGATGGTCCGCTTGTCTCGCTCACCTACTGCGATGGTAAGTTGTACTCCATTGATTTGCTCAAGCTTCATTTGAATTCTTCGGAATGTGACTAAGATGACTAAGGTTCATCAGGCCCTGAATATTCCTGCTAGGTTCTGTGAGTGGCACTGGTTGTTGAGTGAGCATCGAAGGGAAGCTAGTGGTCAGCCCAATGCCAAAGATGTTGCAAGGTGAAAGCTGCATGGCCTAAACTCGAATGATCTGCTTGCTAAACGAAAGAAGTCCTCAACCAAGCTCCCTGATAAGAGGAATGCTAACAGTAAATCCATCGAAGATGAAGTTGCAACCTCACGATCAAGGGATGCGTCTCCACAGAGAAAGAAACCGAGACCTTCTTCTGCCACGAGCAAGTCTTCTTCAAAGGAGGTCTCATCTGCTGAGAAGATTCCCACAAGAATTGCTCCTTAACTCGGATGATCTGCTTGCTAAACAAAAGAAGTCCTCAACTGAGCTCCCTGATAAGAGGAATGCTAACTGTAAATCCATCGGAGATGAAGTTGCAACTTCACGATCAAGGGATGCGTCTCCACAGAGAAAGAAACAGAGACCTCCTTTTGCCACGAGCAAGTCTTCTTCAAAGGGGGTCTCATCTGCCGAGAAGGTTCCCATACGAATTGCTCCTTCTTCATCTGCCAAGATCAAGTGCCTCATCGGTGCAAACAACAAGAAGTTTAGTGGCATGCAGGAGGTTCAGAATATTCTGCTCAAGTCTCCGATCGAATAGCTCAAAACCTGTGATCTGTGCTGTAAGGAGGTTGTTGAGAAGCATAATTCAAGTCGTCTGTGCTGGTCTGGGGATGAAACTGAGAGGACTGTACCCTTATCACAACTCATCTGCCAAGCCATGAATAATCAAGCACAAAGTTGATTCAATATTGCAAGCTGCGGTCAAGAGGGCTAGAAAGTCGTTTTCTCGAACGAAGAGTCCTCTAGTTACACAAACTGCTAGTCCAAGAGTTGGGGATGAACGCATGTCTGACCTACTCAAGATAAACTTCCTGTCAAGTTTGTCTGCTTGTACCAAGTTGGTTGACCATGTACACCAAACTAGTGACCTTAGGAATCGTGGATCAGGTTGACCAATGAATCATGGATCAAGTTGACCAAGGAATCATTGATTTGGTAGACCAAGGACTCGCAGGTTGGTCACCAAGTCATTTGGTATTTTCCTGATCATTAATGATAAAATATAATTACCGGGCATGATAACAAAAACATAATTATATGCCAACTATAATATCACATGTGCCTTGAGAAAATAATAAAATTATTAAATAAGGCATGTTTAATAATTCCATAATAATATCTTAAATTTAATATTTATTAGAGTAATGCAACTCTTACCATATTCTTTTACCACTTTATGTGACAAATGAGGTGAACAACCACATCAATTAAAATTAATTCAACATTTTCTTTTCGTTCATAATTTATTGTCACTTTATAATTAATGGTGATGTCCATTTCATCTGCCACACAAGGTGGTATAAGAATGTAGTATACAAATATATTAAGAGTATCATAAATAATGTGCCTCAATTCAAAATAAATATTAAGTGGAATATTCACAATGAACGTGCATTTTCCTTAATAAAACATTAAATATTAATATTTATTAGAAATTAAAACAATTAAACATATTAGAGAAAGAGAAACTGATCTGTTTTAGGCGCGGAAGCCATTGTTGGTGTGAGAAGGAGCAAGAGCCGTTTGTCGCGAGAGAGGGAAAAAGCTATTGTCGCGAGATAGAGTTTCGGCTCCAGCGATGCAAAGACTAGTGACCGGAGTCTCCCAGCTTCGATGGTGACGTCGGCGTCGCGAGACGTCAAAAGGAGGAGCGCCAATGCCGCTGGGCAGATTCGGCGGAATCATCGATGGCACGTCGGCAACTTCTCCCGCATCGAGCTGCATCGTCTTTCCGGGGTTCTGAAAATTGGAGGCCGGCGATTCCTATGGTGCCAGCGGTGTCGCGAGTCCGGGAAGGTCCTCGATTGATCGCAGCGTGGCCTCCATTTTTCTTGGTGATGCGATGGCGAGCCCCGTCGTCACTATCGTCTTAGCTTCTGGATTTTGCAGACTGGAAGCTGGTGGTTCCTTCACTGCTTAGGCGTCTTCTAATTTGATCAGGAGGGGACACCCAAACGGTTTTCATGGAGAACAAGTTGTTCTTCTCTCTGTCTGCTGCATCACGAGGAGAAGAAACAAATCGTTTCTTTGCACAGGACCTTCACATCCAACTTTTCTCTTTTTGGTTTTGTTTGATGATTTGGAGCCATGCATCCAAACTCTGATTTATTTTTTGTGATATTTTTGTCGCTGTGTCTTTCTCCAGCCGAGTCAAGCAGTGAGGATATTTTCCTCTTGGCGTGCATTGGTTTTTCGGAGGTGATGGATTCACCAAGAGAGGAACGACCATTGGGTGGCTTGGCAGAATTTCGCCATTGATGCGGTGGCTGTTCACACCGTGTTCTTCGTGGCGGGGCCTCTCACCATGGCGATTTGAGAACTTTGGATCGATGATGGAATCGATGAATGAGGGGGGAAATGGATTTCCCTCGATTTGAATTCAATAGCATCCCATTCAGTATATCTCGAATATCTCAACGAAAGCACCAATTTGTGGGGAGTGATTTTCCTCATAGAAAATATTCGTCTCAAGGAGAACCGGGTGGCCGGAGCCATATGTGGTGGTTGGAGCATTGTGTCAAAGAGAGAGAGAGAGTGGCGACTAGGGTTTGTGAGAAGGGATTTCTGCAGAGTTTCAAACGTACCTCAAGCATTGTAAGTAACTGTGTATTTATACGAGCCTTGGACGCTAGGGTTTCAGAATAATAATTCCACCTATGGAAAGGAATTATTCTTGCTCCAATTTGGAGAGATTGAGTTAATTAGGGATTTATCAAATCCCCAATTATGACAAGGATCCCCAATTTAATTAAATAATTTCCAAATTAATTGAATTAATTATTTGACGTAGAATCTATAAATATTTGCTTCCACAGTCCTTTGAATAATGTGATTATCATCCAAACTTGTTTTCATTTGTTTGGGTCATCAAGTTCGACATATTAGTACCATGACAGGATGGGTTCAGCTGCCACGAGTTATCTGAGAAACCCAATAAGAAATTGCTTAAGAAACTATATGATCTGGAGGTAAGACTAGAGACAAGCCTAATTAGGAGTTTGACATCCTTGTTCTGTATTCCACAACCTACGGTAGGTGGAGGCTTGAATGCATTTTCCTTATCTTGGTGTTTGTTTTCTTGTCTACGAGGTTTCAGATGATGAAGTTGCTGTGTCCGAATGTGAATTGCAAGATTTACAATGCCCCAGATGCCCATAAAACATTTGCAATGCTATAGACCTTTCTCACAATTTGTTGGGTAATAGAATCTGATTTTAGGCTATGATTATTAGTTTTTGAAGTGTTGCTTCTGGCTAGAAACTACGTTTTAACCTTTCTTTTCCATTCTTCAACAAGACTCAAAGCTATTCTCTTTAGTTCTCCTTGCATTTCCATAAATATTTGAAGTGTATTAGCTTCTTATTGGTTAGTATCCCCCAGGAAATGGTACGATGGAGAAACTCTCTCTCTCTCTCTCTCTCTCTCTCTCAAGGAACAATAGTAATATATCAATGTCTGACACCACACTAGAAGGTTGGCCATTTCAACCATATTTTCAAGACTTTCTCCCCTAAGTTGAACTTTCTCGTTCATTTCAAAATGCGGCAAGTTACTTCCCACATCTTTCCAAACAAAGGAATGCAAGAACACATATTTATATTTCGATGTATTCAAAGGTAAGGCATACGCCAAACAGTACGTTATAACACATTATATGGCACCATTGAAGTTCACAGAGGCAATAACTAAGTTGCACAGAAATTAGTACACGGTGATATTTTTGTTAAGACAAATGACAAGAAAATAATCTCCTTTGCCATTACGTAGTAAAAACTGGCATCTCACCTTAAACACCTTTACTGCAATTTCGCACTAAGAGATGCACAAGCAGCAAAACCACCTCCCTGCCAAGATGCTCAACCACCACTGCATTCTAATATTATGTTGCATTTAACTTAAGGGGGAACATAAGGGAAGGACAAAGGAAACAAGGACAACATCTCAAAATATCACCTCTTCATCAGCTGAGTTCTACCATGACAACCCTCAAGGGGTTGTTTCCTCCGTTGGCAAATCACTAATGAAGGAAAGCAGTTGTTGGATCTGAACCCAAGTCGCTTCCATAGATTCAAAGTCCCTTTTGGCTTGCAACACTCTCTTCACCCGAGCTTTCTCATGGATACAGTGATCATGAAGCAACTTCTGTGTGTACTCAAGCTTGTAACTGATTTGATCCATTTTGGCTTTGGCGTTGGCATGAAACTCCTCCAGTTTCTTCAAAACAGCTTTCTCCTCACCCAGTTTTTCCTCAAGCTCTTCAATGATTGATTTTTGTACAGTGATACAATTCAGAAACTTTGGTTCATCTTCTTGAGCTTTAGAAAAGCGAAGAGAATAAACTTCTACTTCTTGTTCCAGTTCAATTTTCTGATTAAATTGTTCTTGAACTTCAGCTGTGATTCCACTAGCCAAGTGATACTTCGACTCCACAAAAGCAAGCTTCTCCTGGACAATTTCAATGTTCGCAAATTCAACTCCAGTTTGGTCATTCGCTATGAGCAAGATTTCCAGTGAAGATTTTAAGTTATGTAAACATTCAATCTCCATGACTTCATCTAGAGAGAGTGTGGAAATACTTTGGATCTTGGCCTTGGCCTTAGAAATTTCATCAGAATTAGGAATGAGAGCTTCTTTGGCGTTGGTGACTATGCAAACATCTGGATGGTGGAGGAGATATCTTTCAAGAAAGTCCAAAGCTCGGATAGAGGGCTCGGGCTTTGACATCTAAGCTAAGATTCAGTCAGAATTAGAACACGACTGATAAGGAATACTGAAGTTAGATAAAAATTACCTTATGATCACGCTTCACAAGAAAGCCAGAGTGGTGCAAACCACTTTCTTTCCTCGAAGGATTTGGATGACATGACTGTTCTTGAAGTGGTAATAGAATGCTTGGCTCTGTATGAAGCTGAGGTTCAGCTATTTGGGTTGATGGAGACGAAATTCGACTAGGCAGCTCTCCATTTGATGCATCCAAAGCCTGAGTTAGTGGAAGATCTTTCAGTTTAGAACTAATGTTATCTTCTGTTAATTCGACAATGTCTCCCTCATCTAGAGCATCAGATTGTTGTTTCGTTCGAAGAGGACTTGTGTTTCTCTCAAAGGTCGCTTTCTTTTCCTCAGAGTGAGATTGAGAATTGGACTTAATTAGATTTATCAAAAAACGATGCTCTTCCTCTTTGGTTATCCTTTTCTCGCCACAACCCTTGGAGACACTTAAACTGCTTTTGTCAACAATGGCTTCCTTGGACTTGGCATGAAATAGATAATTGCCCTTTATCATACTTCTCAACAAATGATATTCTGTTATAATCGTTCTTTTTTTACTATGAGCTCTCCCTCGTCCAGGCAGGTATTGAAATTTAGCCAGAGGCTGGGCTTCTTTGCAATGAGCTACACTGGAACTCTTTGCTTCCTGAGCCACATACTTCATTCGTTTTGTTGGTGGGGGTGCTTGCAATTGGTCAGATCTGCCGCCTTCCGTTTGGAAGGAGGTTAACTCTGCATAGGAAGAGCAAGTTATAAATTTTAACGATCAAACAAATATGATATCATTGCCTAGGCCAACAAGGTAAACAACTTTGACAAAATCTTTGATGCACTTGAATTCTCAATCAGCCATTGGAAGGCCAACCCACATAACTACTATTGAAACCTTAAAATGTAATGAGAGGTTGACCAACCCAGCTAAACTAAAAGAAGCATTTGGATTAAATGGTGTATATATAATAACAAATCCATCAGTCCAATCAACGATTAATGAACACCAGTAGGGTTTTCTGCTCATCAGAGGGTGCCGTTGAAGAAATAAATAACTTCTTTCAAATTGTCCAGTTTTTACAATTTTGTTGCTGCTAGAGCATTAATATCTCATCTTTTAATTGTTTCAAATAATTCAACAAACAAGTAGTTGGGGTTGAAAGTACCTTTACGCTTGTTGAAAGCAGATGTTGACTTAGGTGGTTGAAGGGGTCTGTTCTGGTCCAAATCATCAAGCTTAAAAAGATAGTTCAAATCTTGATCATGAGGAAAGGCTTCCTTATAGAATTTTTCCCACCAACATTGGAAGGATGAGGTGGCACTAGGTAGAAGTGAAAATGGAACAAATTTAAGTTTCTTGAACAAAAGAGATATGGTAACCTTAAGCACCAGGAATTGTTCAGAAGTGTCAAATATTGCTCTTTCAGGGGAATGGGTATTGAAAGAGAAGAAAGGAGGAGTAGGAATGCCTTGAATCAGACCGAACTGACGGGCACAGAGATTTGGGCAATATGCTTCAACACCGCAAGTTTTACTTGCAGATCTCCCAATCATGATACCAAGAGGAAGATCACGACTAACAAGAAAGCTGGCCCACATGTCCACGAGTGTAGAAAGCTCGGTCTTGGTCATTTCAGACCGAGGAAAGATCAACCATGTAGGTAAAGCATCTGACTTTGAATATGGGATGAAGTTAAAATTCTCTTCTCTGTCAAAGTGGCACATATACATTAAACAATCATGAAATGAACTTTCAGGCTCTTTGTACAAAACATACTTTAGTCCTTCACAGGAGAGATGGGGAACAGAAAAACAACCAGGGCGCAATTTTGGAAAGTAGGCATGAAGCCATAGTTGTAGAATCCATAATGGACCTCCAGCAGTACCCAACTGAGAGTGAAGCAAGTCGTTGATGCCTCTATACAAGTAGGCAAGAACAAGGGGTCCTAAAGCGTATGACTCGCCCCTAGATAAAGCCACAGCCAAGGGGAAATTGGCTTTTACAATCTTGAATGAAGGAGAACAAATTAGGTAACGACAAAGCCAGTATTGTAGAAAAGCTACATGCTCTTCTTCTGTGACAACTCCTTCAACTCTGTTATGTTCTCTAATGAAGGAAGCAAAACTTTTGAGCTTCGTAAACTCAATGCCAAAGTTATCATCTGGAATGGAGATGGAATTACCAACAAGAGCATCAAACTGGGGGCCATCTGGTCTAAGTCCTACCAAAGCACTAAGATCTAAGAGAGTAACAGTAAGGGGACCATGCCCAAGGTGAAAAGAGTTTGTGGAAGTTGACCAAAAGCAGAGTGCAGCAAGTACTAAAGAACGATTGAACGGAATGGTAAACTTGGAGAATTGGAGAATATCATAGATTCCTGCTTGATGCCAAATATACTGCTTTTGATCTTCGACTCTTTGAAACCAAGAGACCCAATGAGGGTGCTTAGTTGGCCAAAACCGATGATGATCATGAAACCATTTATAGAACTTGGCATTTTGATCGTTTATAAGAAAATCCTCACTTTTGCATTTCAGAAATTCATTAATATGAATATCAGGGACATCATTTACGAATTCTGATGCAGGACCTAAGATGAAATGCTGGGAATTTGAATCAGGGATAAGTACCTGAAAGTTGGTAGTTTTAGGGGCTACTTCCCTCATAAGTTGCCTCAACCTCTCAACAGCCTTGGTTTCGGTGTCCAATCCATCATCAGAGGATGTGGTAATCATGTTTCCAGGGAGAGAACAGAAAACCAACAGTTCTAATCTAACACTGTTACCACTGACAGTCTTCTTCCTCCTGCTGTAAAAACAAAAATAAATGAAAACCATCTTTAAAACTGATAAAACCCATCTTCCATTGTAATCAACTTTTAATTTTACCTCATCAGTCAAAGTGTAACCACTTACATTAACAATTTGGGAAACAAGTTCCAGTGTGCCTATTCCCAAGAAGCTCAAGAAATGAACTGCACAACACACACAAAAGCTCAATTATCGACTCACATCAGATATGAGAAACCAAAAAAGAATCCTCAGATGATTCTGACAAGCAAGCATGCATCTGCTGGAAATGGAAGTGATGATTAAACTAGCTTATGGCGTATAACATGAAGAAACTTGAACCAGGCATACCAAACAAGTAGATAACTGAAAGAAGCTACCGATACAGAGAGTTCAAAGAAAAGCAGAACACTTACCAAGGCAGCACAAGTAGCTTTCCAAGAAAGGTGCATGTTCGATTTTAGATTTCGTTTTCTGTCTTTGTTTATGTTTTGCTTCTTTCTTTTTGTTTTTCTATTTCTTTTTTCTAGAGAAATGGAGCAAATTAAAACCTGCAGGGAGAGGGAGGTGAGAAGTCTCTATTGGCATATATTTATATCTATTTGAAATCTCCTTGTCATGATCCCAACGAAGAAATTAATTTTATTTCTTGTAAATTTTAATTTGCATTCTATACCTATCAATTTTACAAGTGAGTAACAAAAAATTGAATTGATTTTGGGAAAATATACATAAATACAACTCGCCACAACATTTCAATTAAAAATAGGATCAGTTACAAATTGTAAAAATAAAATTAAAAAAAATATTACTCACACAAATTTACCAAAATACATTTCATATATAAGTACAATTTTTGTATAGTGTCATTTTCATAATTGAAAAAGAGAATTGTTGTAAGTAGAGCCCAAATCTTCTCTTTAACCTTCTCGTTTTTTCTCAAAACATGTGTCACTTTTAATACACTTTAAATAATATCATTAATGTATTAAACAAACTAGCTTTTGTTTTCTAAATATACCGTTATTAAATATATTCTTTCATATTTTCTACATTTATCCAATCTGCAAGTTTCTTCGCATCTGGTGTTCTAATAAAGCATATCTTCCAACAACAACAAAAAGTTTCTTCCCACCTTGTTAAAAAAAAATTAAAAATGTCAGTTTTTTGCAAAAGAAAATTTCTGCTTTTTTTTTTTTTTTTTTGGTTCCACAGAGAAAACGTCAGAAATAAAATTTCTTAACTTGTTTTTAAAAAAAAATATTAACATCACAGGTGTCGTGGCCTTCACAAGGATTGTGCTTGTGGATAATCTGAACTTGTTTTGGTCAATTAAATAATACCAATTTCTTTGCCTACTCAATGCTAGCCTCTAATTAATGAGAGAAAAAAATTGTAACCTCTAATTTGTTCACAATTTTGTTTTTTCAACTTTTTATCACAAATAATCCTTGAGGTTTGTGAAATTGCCGCATTCATCCTTAATGTTTTTTTTGTGACACTAATAGTTTTTAATGTTATTATCCACATATCAAAATGGTCATGTTGTCAGTATTTGTCAAAAAAATTATTAAAATGCTAACGTGACACATATGTAGGACCACAAATACAATAATACAGTGCCACGTGTTTTAAATAAAAGATATAACATATTTTAAAAGAAAATTTAAAGATTAAATATATTTTTTTACTGTTTTTTTTTAATTTCTCTCTCGCCATGCCCCTCTCCTTCTCCTTCCAGGAACATAATCAGTTTCGTTGGTTGAGGAAGGCATATGGTTTAGATTTGGAATGGGTATGATGGACAAACGGCTTGGGTGGTCTAAAGAGGCGGTGATGGTGTGATTTGTTTTTTCTTTTTTAGTCAAACCGGTGTTGACACACGGCTAAGCCTGACTGTTCATGTCCTCAAAGTTCAAGTTGAGGGCCTAAACTACCTGCCCACTTTCTCTTTGGGAGGCTCTCAATTTATCGGCGGGGAACATGTCTTGACATTTGAGTGGTAAAAGAAGAGGAGGGCTTCGAGGTGGTGAGGGTGATGGCTTTGTAAAAGTCTTATTTGCCCTTAAAAAATACATCACGCGGATGACATGTTATCAATTTTGACAAAAAAACAAATAAAATTGACAAAAAGGATGAGTGGTGCAACGAGATATCTAATTGAAAGACAGTTGTAGCTATTTAGAGATCAGGGACGAAAATATAACTTGGGTATAATTCAAGAACCATTGCAACAATTAATACTTATGTAGAGAGCTTCTACTGAGGGATCCCCCAAATTAGTTTATTTGAGGGACACCCTTGTAGGGCTCACTCCGTATTTTATTTTATATATATATATATATTCAATGATCCGAACCATCTAAGTTTTAGATATTCACTCCAAGATCATATATGCAAAAAATCACTTAAATCCAAAACCAATTGATTATTTTAGTGTTTTCTTCAAGGATCGTATTTATCTGTTTTGTTGCTAGCAATTAGATACCTTAATGATTTTATATATATATTCATAGGGACACTCTCCCTCGATAGAAGGGGAATGTGTGTGTGTGTGTGTGTGTGTGTGTACATAAAGCTTCTACTGAAGAATCCCTCAAATTAGCTTATTTGAGGGACACCCTTGTAGGGCTTATTACGAATTGTATTTCATTAATTCAAACTGTTTATTTGTAGATACTCATCCAAAGATTATCTCTACCAAAATAAAAAAAATAAAAAAATCACTTAAATCCGATATCATTGAAACACTCAATTAAATTATTGAAATTTTAGTACTTTCTTGAAGTACCGTGTTCATTGATTTTTTTGGACACAATTGGATATCAAAACAGTTTCCGATTTATCTATTTTTTTTTGCAAGGATAATTTATGAATGTAAACTTAAAAAATAGATAGTTTGGATCGTTGAAAAAATATTCGTAGAGGACCCTAAAAGGTGTCCCTCAAATAAAATTATTTGAAGGATCCCTCAATAGAAAAGGACTGTATATATATACAGTTATTCTCTCATCTGTTTGTCCGTACATTATTATTGTGCGGGGAGGAAAGTAGGGAGTGATAGTAAAAAATACATGGTTTTCACGATAATAACGTACGAACGTCCGCATAAGAGAATTTTTGTATATAAATAGAGAGTCCGCATAAGAGAATTTCTGTATATAAACAAAGACAGTGCTTAAACCCACATCATCCAGAATATATAAACACAATTCTGCTCGAAGACAGGAAAAATTGTATCAAACACTTGACAAACTACTTCTCCAAATCTGCTAACTGCTTACCAAACTAAACCTCCAATTTATAAATACCCCAGCTCTACAAGACTGATGTTTTAGCTCTTGATACTTGGAACCTTATTAAACCTTAAATTGTTTTTCTCGACGCTTCCAGATAACAGTAGCTGCTGCAACCTTATTCTTAGCAAGATTGACAATTTAGGATATCAACCTAAGTACCAATTTCCAACACTCATGTACAGTTGCACAGTCGTCCTACGAGAGCTATGAGAGCTCTCGAGAGCTAGGATTTAGGTTCTGCATTTAGCCATGAGAGCTAGCAATGAAGGAAATTTTGTCCTTCCAGGATACTTGGAGAGCAAATGCTCCTATTTGCAGGAACATCATTAGTGCAGCTTCTTCCAAGGAAAACAGTTCTCACACCCAGGCATGTACAGAATGCAAATAAGAGCATAAATAAGCTTTTAGCCTCCCTCAAGCACAAAACTGATCTCCCAAGAATTCCATGCCTAGTTTCTTCCTCTACCAAAATGTAAAAATATGAAGCCACAGTACAGAGAAAAAAAAAACTTAAAAAACCAACAAACTACTGAAATACCAGTAAATTTCATCCAAATAAGCACTAGAAACATTCTATCAATATAAGACTAAGACAAAGGAATCATGCAGAAATACGGAGACCCAAAATCAGAAAAAATAAAATAAAAATAAAACATATATATATATAAGAAATGCAAGTAACCGTACAAGGAAAAACTAGAATGTAAACAAAAAAGATATCCAAGTGGATTGAGAGAAAGGGAACATACAAAATTCACATATCGAGTTCTTGAATGCATAAACAATACAACACATAACTTCCTGTATAAAAGGAAACGCTTTCAGGTGATGCAGTTGCTGTATAATGCCTAATTTGAGCTAGAACCTGCAGCGCACACAGCTGGTTTATTATGGTTGTTTAAAGAATTTTCATCACCATTTTCTGATATCTGCTGATTGTCTGATTGAGGAACCGAACTATCTAAACTATTTGACACACAAGGATCATTAATTCTACTATCGTCTCTCGTTTCCAGACGCTCCATCATGCGTGATACAGTTGCAAAGCCGGCATTAACTTCTCTTTTAACTTCAGAACCAAGATCTGCCATGGCAGCGTTACGAGAGAACAATCTCTCCTTCCAACCTCTTGTGCTCTTTGAAATTGACTCTTTGTATCTAATAGAAAATGTGAAACAAATATGTGTGACGTTTAAGAAATGATAAGGATTTTAAGTTAAAAAAATATCTCATTCAGAGTCGGTATAAGAAATTTGTAAGATTAAAGTACATTTATACCTCGTTGACACTGCATTAAATCGATTCTTCAGAGATTCTGAAAATGATTGCAAGTCTGATGGTCCAGCTCTATCTTGGGTACTCGGGGATGACTGACTAGGCGACCCCCTAAAGGATATGATAATAACGTGGTAGTCAATTAACAGCGGAAAAAAGAAGATATAAGGATGGGATTTTATGCACCAACATATGCCCTGAGAATTAAGCTGAAGAATCTAGTACCTATTGCTAATGGAAGATCCATGTTGATTGGGAGCCGGAACATTAGTTCCAGACGCTGAGGCAGAAACAGGACCAGATTGTGAAGAAGGTACTGGAGTGGTCACTTGAGAAGATTCTTCTCCCGTATTCAGAGGAGGCGAAGGAAAAGTTACTGAAATTGAAGGAGCTGGTTCACCTTCTCCCATCTGATCAGGGGAGGAAGAAGCAGCAGGAGGTGCATTAGGATGGGTGGAGAAGACCAGGAACTGTGGGCGCCCTTGAGTTGATGACCTATTCCTTTGGCCCTCCCTTCTGGCAACGTGGCGTGCCCGACCCATTGCAGCAGCCGCAGCTAAGTGCTGGATTATACGTTCTTCAAGTTCAGCATCATTTACACCCACAGGTAACTAAGGGACAATAATAAAATCATTTGAATAAGATCCACCTGTTCTGATACATATATACTAGATTTAATTATTGACGAGAAATAAAAAAGGCAGAATACAAACATGCTGCAATTCAAAATCTCCAAGAGTTGGATGATGAAATATTGTGGTATTTCGAGGTGGATTAGACCTAATACTTCTCTCCCGTTCTACTCCCTCTAGAAGTTCCTGGCTGCAAACAAAAACAAAATGAAGAACTTATCATTGTGTATTAGTAGTATGAATAAAACGAATATCAAGACCAGAAATCAAACTCCAAACCTGGTGGGATCCTTCAAGCTGATAGGTTGCCAGCACATAGGGCATTGGGAGCTTC